CACCGACCCACAGCCGACGCGGATCAGCTTGGGCGGGACCCCGTGTGTCAGGGGCGGCACCTGAGACCCGGCGGCGCAGTGGGCGCTGCTGAGACCCGCCCGCGGCACCCCGCGGGGCGGGGCGGCTCCTGGCCCCCGCCCTCTCCGGGCGAGTTACCTGCCGGCCCCGCCGGCCACGTGATCGGGGGCGGCCCCGGGAACCTCAGGGAAGGGCAGCCAGAGCCTAGCCCAGGACGCGCGAGCTCACCCTCCAGGCCCGGACGCGCGATCGGGATCCGAACTCCCACCTCTCGGGCAGGTCCTGCCCGACTCCTGGGACGAACCGATTCTTCTGCTCGTCTCCTGATCCCCAGGGACCACGGGGCCTCAGCAAAGGAACAGGCAAGACCAGAGGTTTTCTCCGGTCCTTGAGCGTCACATGGGAGCAGCGGAAGTCACCAGAAGGCAGCTTAGGGCCTGCAGGGGTCACGACGGCGGGTCTGCTGGGGTTGATGGAAGTCAACAAAGGCCACAGGTGAAGGCGCGAGGTACCCGGCATTACCCGGAGTCCTGTGGAGGGAGGGGGAAGGGAATCACCCATAGACGTCGGTTGGGGAAAGGGAAGGCTTTGGAGCTGTGGGGTGGTCACCAAATCTCGGGGAAGGGCTTGTCCACGCAGGTGCTAGGGTGAACTTTAGCCCGTCTCCAGGAAGTGCCAGAGTCGTTGGGGGCTGGAATTGCGCACGCCTCCATGCTGAGCAACCGCAGCTCTCCCCCCACCTCCCCCCCCGCCAAACTCCCCAAACCCGGGCGAGCGGCATCCCAGGCGAGACTGAGCTGGGCGGGCCGGGTCTAGAACTTCACCGCCTCCCCACGTGCGGACGCCCGCCTGTTCTCCTGGTCCTCTGGCCACCAGTCTGTTGCCCGGAGACGGCGAGCGCGCCGGCGGGCGAGGGGCTAGCATTGAGGGTGTGAGCGTGCGTCTGCAGATCCTCCCTTCCTCATCTCGGACCTACAACCCAATTCGGACAGGCCCGCGTTGAGGGCTCCCAGCGCCCCTTTCGCTCCATGGTACTTGTCCCTTATCGCGAGTTGCCGGGCCGCCCCTTCCCCACAGTCTCCCACGTACATGACTGAGAGATTGAATCCGGCGCGGAGGGGCTCCATGCTGGCGGGAGCTGAGACGTGGGCTTGCCAAGCCTAACCCGAGACTGAGAGGCAGGAGCCGCGCCTCGCGCTCCTGGACAAGCGGGTGCTGCGTCCGGGCCTGGGGACAATTGAGACAGCAGGGGAACTCGGCGCATCCCCCCGCCTGTCCGGGAGAAGGGGTGCGGCGCAGGACGAGAGCGCTCGCGGTGGAGGGGCGCCTCCGAGGCCCCGAGACGAAAGTGAGCCAAGCCGGGTCCCGGCGACTGGGACCGAGTAGGACGTGCACGCCCCGCCCGGCGGCGCTGAGCCGTTAGCACTTTCATTTGCCGTGGCGGCGAACGGCAGGTGTGGGGTTGCCCCCTGCGGCCGCCTGCCCACGTGTCCCCTACCCTGGAGACGCAAAACGAATCAGGCCCGGGGGGAGGGGAGAACGCCGCTCCTCGAGCCCCGCCCCGTCCCAGAAGCCCGGAATGTCAAATATTTGTCTCACCAGAGCGCGCCTGCGCAAGCCGGGGTCCGCCCTTGCTGCTGGCCACGCCCTTCCAGCCAACTCTGCTTCACCCCATTGGGGCTACCCCTCCACGTTCCTAAAACTCCCGGACTTGCTTTCTGGCTTCCCATCTGTGCTCCAGCGTCTACAAAACAGAGCCGCAGCGTTCCCCCCGGGAGATCCCAGGACTACTTGATCTCATTCTCACCTCTCCTGACGACCCCATCCGTTCAACTTGTAGACCTTCACGGTAGACCCTTCCCCCTTCCCTCTGCGTGGGTCTCACTCACAACGCCGGATACCTTGGGGAACCTCCCTCAAAGCGACCTCTCCATATGGCACCCCTGACCGTCGGGGCGCATTCACAGTGGAGATGTGCTCATGCATGTTCAAGTACCTGTTGCGTGGAGAACCTGAGGCACGGCTGGCAGCACAGGCCGGCCCCCCAAACCTGGCTCCCATCCAGTCTCCCCTATCGCTACACAACTCCTGGCCCATGGATCCTCCTTGAAAAAACAAATTTGGCCGGGTGCGGTGGCTCACGCCTGTAATCTCAACACTTTGGGAGGCGGAGGCGAGAGGATTACTTGAGCCCAGGGTTCAAGACCAGTCTGGGCAACTTGGTGAGACCTCGTCTCTACAGTAAATCAAAAAATTAGCTGGGCGTGGTGGTGCGTGCCTGTGATTCCACTACTTGGAAGGCAGAGGCGGAAGGATGGCATGAGCCCAGTAGGTCGAGGCTGCGGTGGCCATCAGCATGCTACTGCGCTCCAGCCTGGACAACAGAGTGAGACTCCAACTCATAAAGAAAAAACAAATTCATTTATATAACGTGGGAGCCACTGCTTTGCTGGGCTCCCTTATTCATCTCCTTAAGTTAGGTTCTCAGCAGGGCTCGGTGGCTCAAGCCTGTAATCCCAGCACTTTTTGGGAGGCGGGGGTGAGGGGATTGCCTAAGCCCACGAGTTTGAGAACAACCTGGGCAACTTGGTGAGACTTCATCTCTACAATAAATAAAAAAATTAGCCGGGCGTGGAAGCGCATGCCTATAGTTCCGGCTACTTGGAAGGCTGAGGCAGAAGGATTGCCTGAGCCCAGCAGGTCGACACTGGGGTGGCTGTGAGTGTGCCACTGCACTCCAGCCTGGGTGACAGAGCGAGACTCCAACTCAAAAAAAAAAAAGAGAGATAGGTTCTCTCAGGTCACCCCATTATTACTAAACAATCTGCACTTCCGTCCCCTTACTCTCATAACTTCTTTCTCCCACCCTTCCTTCCCACACTTAGCCAACCTTTAACGTGGTTTATTAGTCGTTCATTGTCATGCCCCCTCCGTTACTCCATCATCAGATCCTTGAAGACAGAGTCTCATCCCCAACGTCTATAACGACCTGACACAATTGGGCCCCAGTGTCTTTGCAGTGGGGTCTCATCTGCCCTGTCCACCCCTCTGACCTAGCCCGTGCTCTAGTTAACCCCGACTCTTCAGATTTTCGCCTCTCAAGGGATCTTCCTCCTCATCTGGGGTCCCCTTCCATAGTTTGAGATTTTTTTCTTTTAAAAAATTCAATAGCTTTAGGGGTACAAATAGTTTTTGGTTACATGTCTACATTGTATACTGGCGAAGAAGTCTGGGCCTTAAGTGTACCCACTACTCCAACCTGTGCACATTGTACCCATAGGTGATTTTTTGTCTCTTCCCCCTTTCCCCCTTCTGAATCTCCAGTGTCCGTGATACTATGCCTTTGCAGATTTTAGTTTAGCTCCCACTTATGAGAACAGGCACTGTTTGGTTTTCTGTTCCTGTGTTAGTTCACTTAGGATGGTGTTCTCCAATTGCATCCGAGTTGCAGCAAAAGACATTTCATTCTTTTTGACGGTGGAATAGTATTTCATAACGTATATTATATACCACCATTTTCATTATCCACTGATCAGTTGATGAACATTTAGGTTGATTCCACATCTTTGCAATTGTGAATTGTGCCGCCATGAACATGCCAGCGCAAGTGTTTTTTGTTTGTTTGTTTTTTATATAACGACTTATGTTCCTTTGGTGTAGGTATCTTTGGGTAGATACCTAGTAGTGGGTGTAGTTTGAGATTTCTGTACTTCACTGAAAAATGTCCCCCATTCTCACCCCGCCCCTCGCTTACCTAGGGTTGGTGAAGCATAAATTAATGAACAGGAGATAGGTACGGGAGAGTGGTAGGCAAGGCCCAAACGTCCCAGCCCGCGGAAGCCAGACGTCTTTCCCAAACTGCACTCCGGGCATTTGGAAGAAGGGACTTGGGTTCCCTGGGCTGCACGCTCGCGCAATTCCATCCTCACCTTGGCCTTCTTAGGAGTGGCCTGAGCCAGATCTCTAAAGGGAGCGGCGCTCTGGCCGCGGGTCCGTAAAAGTTGGGGCAGATACAGGGTGGGGCCCTCGCGGCGGGCGGAAGTGTGGTCCGCTTCGTGGAACCTCCTGGGCATCTAGGAGTGGTGTTAAAGTTTCCTCCCCACTCCCTTCGGCCAGAAAGGATGCCGCGCTGGAAGAGGATTCGACGCTGGGAGCCGCTGCAGGGATCCACCCTCGCCGCCCCAGATCCATCCCCCGTCCTCAGCGGCTCAGCGGCTCCCCGCCAGGCCTACTACTGAACACCCCTTCTTGTTTCCTGGGTCACCAGAGTAGCCAGCGTCCTAGGCTCGGATCTCCGTTCCTTTGCCGATTCGCTGCTGAAAACACCCACCAGATGGCGCTCTGACTTGCCAGTGGTGCGGGGCATGGGGTGGGGTATGGGGGAGAGGCGTGCTAGGGAGTATGGAGGAGGGGTATGCACCTGAGGGCGAGCAACGCGCCAGGCCTGGTGAAAAGGAGATCCCCCGGACCCCCCCCCTCCATAGGCCGTTTCCCTCCATCTTTAGGCTTTAGAATCTTCGTGTGATTCCTGGCTCCCTGGACACAGGCCAAGTTGTTTTGTTTAGAGACAGTGTGTTGCTACTGGAGTGTAGTGGCATGATCACAGGTCACTGCAGCCTCAAACAATCCTCCCAAAATGCTGAAGTTACAGGCGTGAGCCACGACCCCGGCCTCAAGCCAAAATTTTTTTTTTCCAAGATGGATCCTCAGCTGTATCTTTATTTTTTTTCTTTTAATTTATTTATTATAAAGATGTGGGATACAATTAAGAATTAGGAGCCGGGCTCGGTGGCTCAGCCTGTAATCCCGTGCCTTGGGAGGCTGAGGTGAGTGGATTACCTGAGCCCGCAGGTTCGAGACCCACCTGGGCAACTTGGCGAGACCTCATCTCTACAATAAATCAAAAAATCAGCCGGGCGTGGTAAAGCGCATGCCTGTAATTCCGGAAGTACTCGGAAGGCTGCGGTGGCCGGGAGCGGCCACTGCACTCTAGTCTGGGCGACAGAGTGAGACTCCAACTCAAAAAAAGGAATTAGGTATATAAACACCGATCATGCATGTACCCTTGTTGATGAGGTATGCCCCTCCCTCCCCTAGCAGTTTCCCTCAACTGCCAGTCCAACCCCTCTCCCCTGTTAGTTTTCCACTACTGCCAATGGCTTTCTCAGAACCCTCAATTTCTCTTAGTTCCACTCCCAGCCAATCTACCCCACCCTGTGCTGAGCTTCCTACCTGGAGAACCCACCCATCCCTTTGTCTGGAAAGCTACTTATCTTTCAAGGCCCATTGCTAATGATTCTTCCTCCAGGCAGCCTTCCTTTGCCCAGGCCAGGTCAGATGCACCATTCTGATTCCTTTGCCTCCAGGGTTCTGTTATGGTCAGATCAGTGTTGGGGTTCTCTCAACTGTAGGGAGACTGGCAGCAGAGGAGCAGGGGCCTGCTGAGCCTCGAGTTTTAGGGATACTCACCTGGCCTCTAAATGGGCTCAGCTCTGGCTCCTATACCAGCTCAGAAGTCCTGGTGTTACTTTTGTTGCCTCAAGTCCCACCATCCAACTTGGATCTTGGGCCATGAGAGGGAATGCAAAGGGACCAGTAACAGGAGCCATAAAGGTAGTTGGTTGTATGCTCACCAAGGAAGATACCACAACTGGCCTTTCTCCTGACCTCTCAGTTCCTTTTCTCTTTTTCTGGTCTAATCAGACCAGAGAAAGAGATAAGGGGCTGGAAAGAAGGGCTATAGAAAAGGGGGTGCATCCCTCATTCATTCAGCTATATTAAGTATATGCTGTGTGCCAGAAAATGTGCTAGGCAGTAATCAACAAATTAAACAGAAACAGGACAGGTGAGGGGCTTGTTCTTGCAGCCATTTTATTCTGAAAGACTGGCAGGCTCAAATCCAATGGTCATGTCTGGACTGAGGTCTAAATGTAGAGCTCAACTGGGTCCCCAACACTGGGGAATGCAGAGTGGTTTCAGTGTAGCAAGTGCAGAAGTCCTGAGGGGGAATTAGGTCATCTAGCACAGGGAACAAGAAAGACATTAAGGCTGGAAATGAGACAGCTGAGGAAATTGGGGAAACAGGGCCAGAGAACCCTGCAGTTTCTTTACAGTGTGAGATGCATGCCATGGGAGGGTTGCCAGTGGGGTTAGAGGGAGAGCGATGGGGCCTGATAATATTCAACCTGGCATGGGGAGAATGATACACAGGAATAAGGGAATAACTTGAGGGCGTCAGTGAAGAGGCTATTGTGGGGTGAGGGTAGTTTGTTTGGGAAAGTAGAGCTGGCAAGACTTAGTGACCACCTGGGTTGTGGGTCTGAGAAGCATGGAGGCATCCAGAGTTCAAGATGATGCCAGGTTTGCAGGCCGTGGATGGCAGAGTCATTGTGAAAAAGGAGGATCCTCGCCTTCTGACCCTTCTCCACAGTGCCAGCATGGGTCGTTGCTGACCATGTCTTTTTTTTTTTGAGTTGGAGTCTCACTCTGTCGCCCAGACTGGAGTGCAGTGGCTGCTCCTGGCCACCGCAGCCTCGACCTGTTGGGCTCTGGCGATCCTTCCGCCTCAGCCTTCCAAGTAGCTGGAACTACAGGTGCACGCTACCATGCCCGGCTAATTTTTTTGATTTATTGTAGAGATGGGGTCTCGCTGCCAAGGCGGGTCTCGAACCCGCGGGCTCAGTCAATCCACTCACCTCAGCCTCCCGGGATTATAGGCTGAGCCACCAAGCCCAGCTTCTGACCCTGTCTTACTACCACTCCCCTATTGGCCATGGTTCCTAACACATGCAGGACCTGTGGGGAACCCTTCCTGAAGACAGGGGCCTGTGGTCACCTGATGCTGCTGCTCTGTTGCCAGTGTCCAAAGCAGCCCAGGCCTCCTGATTGTCCCCCTCCCCCACTTAACCCTTGACTCTGGACTCCTCCCTGTCCTTAGACCTGGCAAAAGGATCTCTGGTTTCCCACATTGGGCCTTCTGTTAGTGCCATGGGTGGAGGTCGGGGAGATGGGCTTTGGGAGTGGGAGTACTGAGCCAGGGCCTGAGGTGGCAGATAGTTAGACTCTAAGAGAGGGTAGTACCTTAGCCCCGGGCATGGTAGCGCGCACCTATAGTTCCAGCTACTTGGAAGGCTGAGGCGGAAGGATAGCAGGAGCCCAGCAGGTCAAGGCTGCATGGCCGGGAGCGTGCCATAGCACTCCAGTCTGAGCAACAGAGTGAGACTCCAACTCAAAAAAAAACCCAAAAACAAAAGAAAGGGTAGTACCCCAATTATCAACGTGTTTCACTCTTAAGAATTCAGGAAGGCAGATGCAGTGGCTCATGCCTATAATCCCAGCACTGAGCTCAGGGGTTCGAGACTAGCCTGGGCAACTTGGCAAGACCTTGTCTCTACAATAAATCAAAAAACGTAGCCGCATGTGATGGCACATGCCTGTGGTTCCAGCTACCTGGAAGGCTGAGGTGGAAGGATCACCTGACCCCAGCAGGTTGAGGCTGCAGGTGGCAGTGAGTGTTTCACTGCACTTCAGGCTTGGCAACAGAGACTACGACCTAAAAAAAAAAGAGCCCAGTTCGGTGGCTCAGCTTGTAATCCCGCGCCTTTGGGAGGCTGAGGTGAGTGGATTGCCTGAACCCACAGGTTCGAGACACTCCTGGGCAACTTGGAGAGACCTCATCTCTGCAATAAATAAAAAAAAAATTAGTTGGGCATGGTAGCACTCGCCTGTAGTTCCAGCTACTTGGGAGGCTGAGGCAGAAGGATCACCGGAGCCCAACAGGTTGAGGCTGCGGTGCCCAGGAGTGTGCCACTGCCCTCCAGCCTGGCTGACAGAGTGAGACTTCAACTCAAAAAATAAATAAATAAATAAATAAAATAAAAGGTATTCAGGAAGGGCAGCCAAGATAGTGAGCAGTTGCGCTTACCAAGAAGGAGGGAAGGGGCGGGGCAGATGTCTTGTGACCAGGCAGGTGACCTGGGGTGCCACTGACCATTTGAAACGGAGGGTCAAGACCTCTGTTTCCCAAACACACTGGTTCCTCTGTCCTAGAGTGACCCATGGGGCCGGCACATTATCGACTGTCAGATCTTTGCCCACTCTGTTCACCCAGATTTCTGGCACAGGGAGTCTGTCCTCTCTGGTTTGTGTGGAGTTGGGGACCATGAAGCTCCCGAACTGCCCCGTCTGGCGGGGTGATACCGTACTCTGCGCCCCTAAAATGATCAGACAGATTCCTCACTTGGAAACTAAACACACTTACCTGGACTCTTCCCGTCCCATCGGCATCCCTAACCCTGGAGCAGACAATGAGGGGCCCCCGGGCCGGGGTGGCTGAACCCAGGGTCCCTAGAGGCAGGATGCAAAGAACTGGTGTGGGGGTTGCCCAAAAGTCCTGGTCGCTTAAGGCCCAATTACTGTCGGGGTCTCACTTTCCCTATTCTTGCGTAGACCTGGGTCGCTCAGCAGCGGTAAGCGCTGAACTTCCTATCCCCTCTTGGCCCGATCCATTCCAGTTCAGGGAGGCGCCAGGAATCCCAGGTGAGGGCTATGCAGCGTGGACTTCGGGTAGCCAGGGCTGAGGTAGTACACAGCAGCTGCGAGCTGGGTCTCCCGGTGGACGGCTGAGAACCAGTAGCCAAGCTGTTCGACCTATCGATGCTCTCGGCGCTCAGCGCTGTCAAGGGACAGGCACGGGGGTGGGCAAAGGCGGGGCGGGGAGCTCCGGTGGGAGGGACGTGCCTGGTTGGCGAGCCTCTACTGGTTGGCCGTTTGCAGGAGGCGGGTTCTGATTGGCCGGGGACTGCGGGAGGCTGCGGGCGGCGGGGTTAAGCGCTTCGCTACCGCCCCCGCCCAGGCGCGAGTCCAGAGCGCTGAACCCGCACCTCGACCTGCAAAAGCCGTGGCAAGCCATGGGCCTCCGACTCTGTCCCTGCCGTGTGGCACTGCTCCCGGATGGCCTCCTGTTCCTCTTGCTGCTGCTAATGCTGCTCGCGGATCCGGCGCTCCCGGCAGGACGTCACCCCGCGGTGGTGCTGGGTGAGGCGGGTCTCTGGTGGTGGGTCAGTCGGTCCGGCAGAACCGGGTGCGGGCGGGGCAGTCTTCCTGAGATGCATGTGTTCTAAGCAAGAGATTGGGGAGCCTCTTGGTGTCTGTCTTGTCGCCTAGATGGGTCGGTTCACCTCCTACCATGCTAGGCGCGGGTGTGGTCAGCCTCCCGCCATCTGCCCCGGTAGCAGATGGGGGTGAGAGAGTTACCGTGAGGGGGAGAGTGACTGATTGCCTATAACTGCACCTGTCCTCATCAGTCCCAAGCCTCGCCTTGCCTTATCCCATTTTTTATCTGGAAAGACGGAGGCGCTTTGGCCCCACTCCTCAGGACTGGTTGGGGTGGGTAGAGTAGCTTCATAATTGGCCTCCACATCATCCTGGCCCTGGCTTGGAGGCTATCACACTCGACTCTTCTAGCCCCACGTATTTCAGAAGGCATTACTGAAAGGAAGCTCTCTGGGGGAAAGGATTGCTCTCCTAGCTGGCCACCCACCCTCAACTTATCAAACGGGTGGCGTAGAGTTTGAAGGAAGAGGCCTAAGGAAAACAGTGATGGCTAGGGGGTTAGGAGAATGATCATGAACAGGTGTCAAGGAGCATACTTGTATTCTTACTCTTGCGAGACCTAGTTGGTCTAGGCCATGTTGGGGCTGGGTAACCTCCCCTGCCCACCCCCTCCTTGGTCACAGTCCTGGCAACTGTACAGGAGCCACAGCGTTTCTTTGTGGTGATGGACAGGGATGCAACCTCTGTCTTGGGGGCCTTGGGGACCTCATTCAGGTTGTCATTCCCATCTAGAGCTAGCATGGCCAACCAGGACTCCTGAGGGCAGAAACATCTGAGAAATAAATTACATACTGAGTCTGCTACATCATGACCCTATGCTCTTTCTGCTGAGAATATTTTAATGGGAATGATGAAGATCACAGAACGGTAAGGTTGGCAGGCAGGGTGGTACTGGGTAGGTCTCAAGGAGTACTGGGCCAGGAAATACTCCAGGGGTATGCTGGGCCCAGGTTCACTATGAAATTTGGCCCTGCCCTCCCCAAACTTGAAGAATAGGAGTAACAATGATCCCCAGAGATGAGGACTGTGCTGGGCAAGTCCAGAAAGTCCACCAACCAGCCTGGATGGGTGTGCATCAGGAAGGGTTTCCTGGAGTACAATAGCTGGAGCTAAGGCAAGGGGAGAGTTCCAGGCAAAGGAAGAGAGGTGACCAGCCCAGGCTGGCTGGAATTGAAGCTGGGGGAGGAGTGGCTGTACAGGGCTTGTGATTGGTTGGGTCATCTGGACTTTATCCTGGGGGCCTCAGGGAGCCCTGGATGGGCCTGTGGAGTTCTGAGTCTGAGGGGCATTGAAAGATTCTCATCTTTGGCTAGCATGCAGCCTTTTCGCCTGGATCAGTGCTAACTGCACTGATTAATTCAGTCAGCGTTTGATTACCCTAGGTCACAGCAAAAGAGCTTCAGGCCCCACCCAGAGTCACAGAGCAGCTGGAATCCTAACTTGTCTAGCTTCTCAGAGAGTGAGACTGTTGGTGTTAACTCTGGGAGACCCCATGGTGGCCAGTGGATAGGCTGCTCCTGGGCATAGAGCTAGGGGTCTGACTTTGGCCATCATAGGATCAGAATCCTCTAGGGGTGGGTCCTGAATTGGAGGTAGAGGAAACAGAGACCAGAGATATGATACAGAAGACCCTGTGCAAGGGGAAGGGACTGTAGAACAGAGATCAGAGATATGTACAGAGAGATTGTTCAGTCCCTTCCCCTTGCACAAGGTCTTCTGTATCTTATCTCTGGTCTCTGTCTTCCCATCTGTTCATATCTCTGGTCTTAGTCTTCCCATCTGTTAAGTGGAGATAAGGATGTGCTCTTCAGGCCTCATTTGAGGTGAAAAGCAGTGGATGGCTCTTTTCCTATATCTAGGCTCAGGGGATCAGGACGTGGCCATTGCTATTTTTAGAGGCCACACATCCTGACCAGGGCAAGGAACGTCTGGGCAAGCAGATCTAGTGACTTCCTCTTTTAGCCATTTCCTCTTTGGTGGAAACAATGACCAAGATCTTTTCACAGTTCTGCCCAGTCCACATGCATGTCATCTAGAGGCTATCATGACAAGGGCTCCCCACCTCTGCACCTGCATAATGAAGGGAGATGAAGTCAGGTGCCTCACCTGCCTCCTATGGTGCCATGAAGGCACTGGGATGGTGCACAGGGAGGGCATGCCTTTTGCAGGATTGGATTCACAGACGGTACCCAGTGAATGCCCAGGAGAGCCAAGTACTGGTTGTTCATTCAGTAATCATGGATGATCACTAAATGGGGATGTGTTTGGGAGGTGTGGAGAGCATGGCATGTGGGAGCAGGAAAGGCCTGAAATGTCATTGGGAGTAAATAGACAGTGAAGGGCTCAGAAGCAATGGGGAAAGGGTTGAGTGTCACAGGGGCCCCCAGGGCTCTGAGTGGACCGAACAGGCTGGCTGGGGTGGAAAGAAGTCATGCTTGGGCCTGGTCAAATCCACCCCCGCTGGGCTATGACTGGAATGGTGTGTTGTTTTAGGGCTATCTTTAACACAGGTTCCCAGTCATGCTAGGGCCCTCCGGGTGATCTGTTCTCTGATATCTTTCTGGGCTCTGGCGTTTAGTAAGGCCTGGAACCCTTAATAAGTTGGCAAGTGCCAGTACAAGCTTCTCTCAGCTGTGTTTCTGTTCATTGCCTCCCTCCCACAAGCATGTTCTGGAATATCTTCTGTGGATCCAATTTTGGCTGTTTAGGTAGCCCAGTAGTCTGTCTGTTTACCACTCCCTTTCTCAGGGTGAACAAGGCCCTGTCTGCTCTGGTTGTAGTCTGGGATGGCTGTGGGTGGAAGACTCATGGGCTCGACTTGAGGAGATATATATATAACAACAGGTCTTTGGCCAAACTTTGGAGATTCTAACGCAGGAGGCCAGAGGCAGGGAGTGCTATCTCCAAGTCCCTCCCAGTCAGAGCTCCTATCTAGCCCGTTAACTATAGAAACCATGTGTGTGTTTGTGGTGGTGGGTAATTGAAGATCTCATTAAACAGTCAGGGAAACTGAAACCTAGCATGAAGAAGTGACTTCACCCAGAATCCCTTCCAATAATCTGAATGGCTCAGGAGGATGTTCCACTGAAGGTCGAGGGGATTTACTTTATCTGTACCTGGGGAGACTGTGAGGGGTCTTCCCCAAAACATGGCAGGCCTCTCCCAAGACCCCCACAGACTTTTCTGTACCACACAGCAGAAACAGCTTTTCTGCATGAAGATGGTACCCTGGCCTTTGTGCTTTAATTTGAGGTGTGGAACTTCAGAGATCTACCATAGTATCCATGGCTCTTTAGGGGGGCAAGGGGTCTGCTGCAGACTTCAAGGTTCTTGGGGGTCTCAAGCCTGTCAGACTGGAGCTTACACATGTCCTATACCCCTGCTGCAGTGCCCGGTGATTTGGGCAACCAACTGGAAGCAAAGTTGGACAAGCCGTCAGTCGTGCATTACCTCTGCTCCAAGAAGACCGAAAGCTACTTCACAATCTGGCTGAACCTTGAACTGCTGCTGCCTGTCATCATTGACTGCTGGATCGACAATATCAGGTGGGAGCCAGGGCACACCAACCAGGTGCTGCTCACCAGTGGGGCCCAGAGAGTCCTCCAGAGCCCATTCCTTCTCATCCTTGCTTCAAGAGGTCACTGACGTCTTTCCTTCCCCTGGTCCTGGCACCACGCCTGCACTCTCCCAGGCAGAACTTTTTTTTTTGAGTTGGAGTCTTACTCTGTCGCCTAGGCTGGAGTGCAGTAGCACGCTCAAGGCCACCACAGCTTCGACCTGCTGGGCTCAGGTGAGCCTTCTGCCTCAGCCTTCCAAGTAGGTGGAACTACAGGAATGTGCCACCACCCTGGCTAATTTTTTGATTTATTGTAGAGATAAAGTCTCACCAGGTTGCCCAGGCTGGTCTTGAACCCGTGGACTCAGGCAATCCTCTCACCTGGGCCTCCCAAAGTGCTGGAATTATAGGCAAGAGCCACCATGCCAGACTACCAGGCAGAACTTTCTTCCTCTTCCTGCTGCTCTTGCCTACCCCCTACTTTTCAGCCCTCATGTTCTACACATAGTTTTTTATTTTTATTTATCTATTTTTTTAATTGGAGTCTCACTCTTTGTCACCGAGGCTGGAGTGCCGTGGCACGCTCACGGCCACTGCAGCCTCAATCTACCTTCTGGGCTCAGGTAGATCCTTCCGCCTTAGTCTTCCAAGTAGCTAGAACTACAGATGCACGCCACTAGGCCTGCCTAGTTTTTGTGATTTATTGTAGAGATGAGGTCTCACCAAGTTGCCCAGGCTGGTCTTGAACCCTTGGGCTCAGGCAGTCCTCTCGCCTCAGCTTCCCAAAGTGCTGGAATTACAAGCTGATCCACCGTGCCTGGCCTCTTTTTTTTTGGAGTCAATGTCTAACTCTGTTGCCCAGACTGGAGTTCAGTGGCACAGTCATGGCTATCGCAACCTCAACCTAATCCTTCTGCCTCAGCCTTCCAAGTAGCTGGAACTACAGGCACGCACCACAACTCCCAGCTAATTTTTAAATTTATTGTAGAGACAAGGTCTCGCCAAGTTACCCAGGCTGATCTCGAATCCCTGAGATCACACAGTCCTTTCACCTCCGCCTCCCAAAGTGCTGGGATTATAGGTATGAGCCATTGCACATAGTTTCTAAGTCCTAGCCCCTGTTCAGAGCCTCAGCATGGCTCCTGCCCCTTTCCTGGCCTGTACCTTGGCCAAGCCTGCCTCTCTAGCTGTTGGTTCTTCCTGGGACAGACATATCTTTGCACATGCTGTGTTGTTTTCACTGTAATCTACTTCTACCCTTTGCATGATAAATTTCCTCCACTTCATCCTTTAAAACCCAACTCTCATCCCTTTGTGCGGTCTAGCCTTTTGACTCCCCAGAGCAGTTCACCTCTCCTTCCCCCAAGCTACATGCTTGTTTCTTCTAACCCTCATCGTGTGCCAGACTTTGTTTCCAAAAATGTTTCCCCCACTTAATAGAGGCATTGTACACTTTATATGCTTTCTTTCACTTAGCCTTACAGCAACCCTGTGAAACTGGTGTTGTTGTTGTTTTATTTATTTTATTTTATTTTTTGAGTCAGAGTCTCACTCTTGTCCAGGCTAGAGTGCAGTGGCACACTCACGGCCACTGCAGTCTCAACCTGCTGGGTTCAGGCGATCCTTCTGCCTCAGCCTTCCAAGAAGCTGGAGCTACAGGTATGCACCACCATGCCTGGCTAATTTTTTGACTTATTGTAGAGATGAGGTCTTGCCAAGTTGCCCAGGCTGATCTCGAATCTGTGGGCTCAGGTAGTCCTCTCCACCTCTGCCTCCCAAAGTGCTGGGGTTATAGGCGTGAGCCACCATGCCCTGCCTAGGTGCTGTTGTAAAATCTGCTTTATAGATGAGGAAATCTGGAAGCTCAAAGAGGTTACAAAATTGCCTATAATCACTCAGCCAATAAGAGGCAGAACCAGGATCCAAACTCAGAATTGTGTGACTCTGAGCTGAGGTTCCCTCCCAGACTGAGCTCCCTGAAGGCAGGAACTGTGTCTCTGTTTTATCTTTATCGTGGTAGAACCAGGAACATAGTTGGTGCTCAATAAAATTTTGAGCTGAATGGAATCTCACAAATTAAAAGTTTTTCCCAGCTGGGTGTGGTGGCTCACACCTGTAATCCCAGCACCTTGGGAGGCTGAGGTGAGAGGATTGCCTGAGCCTACACACAGGTTCAAGACCAGCCTGGGCAACTTGATGAGACCTCATCTCTACAGTAAATCAAAAAAATTAGCTGGATGTGGTGGCACATGCCTATAATTCCAGCTACTTTGAAGGCCATCTGAGCCCAACAGGTCAAGGCTACAGTAGCTGCGAGTATGCTACTGCACTTCAACCTGGGTGACAGAGTGAGATTCCAACTCAAAAAAAAAAGAAAAAAAGTTTTTCCCGCTGCACGGTGACTCAGGTCTATAAATCCAGCACTTTGGGAGGCAGAGGCAAGAGGATTGCCTGAATCCATGGGTTTGAGACCAGCCTGAGCGACATGGTGAGACATCTCTACGATAAATTAAAAAGTTAGCTGGTTGTGGTGGTGCCTCTCTGTCTTTCCAGCTACTTGGAAAGCTGAGGGAGCAGGATCGCCTGAGCCCAGCAGGTCGAGGCTGTAGTGGCCATGAGCATGCCACCGTACTCCAACTTGGGCAACAGAGTGAGACTCTGACTCCCAAAAAAAAAGTTTCTCCCAGAGACTCGCTAGCTGGTTCTCCAGGCTTCCTGCCCTTCATTGTTTGTGTGGCCCGCCTTGTTGACTCTTTGCTCCTCTGTCTGTGATCAGGGTTATTTCTGGGCTGTTGATCTGCATTTCTATTTTTGTACTGGAAGCATGGCCTCAGGTACTGCCAGTTGGAGGTGGAGACTGATTCTGACAGGGTCTTGTCTGCCTTCATTGGTGCTGTGACCTGTTTAGATTTTCATCCGTCACAGAGCTGCGTTGACTTTCCAGAACAATTGTCTACATTTTGCTAGGTGGCCATTGGGATATCTACAGATTGCTCTGGAGAGAGTGGGCCCCTATTTAGGTCAGTACTGGGGATGCTGTCAGCTTTCTGTGACTGATCTTTAAGTGGGGAATGGGACTCGGAACCCCCAAGAACTTCAGTTTCTTATGTTTTCTTGGGCACATTTTCCTCTTTGGTGTAAGGCAAGGCTGGAGCAGGGTTCCTGGCTTGGCACAGGGCTGTTCTACTGTCCCTCCCAACCCCACCCCCATCGTTTTTCCAGGCCTTGGTGACCCTCTTCCCGAGGGAGGCAGTATAGCAACCATGTCCTCAGCCCTGAAGCACAGTTTCTCTTGTGTGGTCCGTTTGGCACTGTAGCTACAGAAACTATGAGGTAATTTGTGTGATGTTAGAAGCTGCTGAGTCTGTGGTAATATGTTACACAGCCATAGAAAGCTACTAAAGGTCTGGCAGGGATCCCAAGTAGCTGCTAGTCCATGTCCCATGTCATAGCTCTTAGAAATTTCCTGGGCAAGCCCTGGACATTGTGGTCAGTTTGGCAGGTGGTAGATATGGCCCTGGGATACTGAGCAGGTCATAGGGGCATAATTTGTTTCTTTTCTTCACAGGTGCTGTTTTGGGGGGTTGGCTGGCTGCTAGGTCTAATGCCCAGAGCAAGTGGGACCCAGTTAAACCTATCTGGGGCTGCACGAGGCCTTTCTCCTGTCTTTCCCCACATGCCCCCATCATTTCTCTGGGCCTTGCCCACCCTCCTACCTGCCCATCCACACGTCATCACAAGGCTCAGGCCCCGAGGCAGAGTCCCTGTCTGGTTCTGTTATGTCATGCACTCACACTCTCCTTTGTCTTGTAATGTGTTGTGGTGGCGACAGGAGCTAGATCCATGGAAATGGGACAAAGGGAGCCTGAAGGGGAGGCTGCCTCTTGGGGTCAAGTGTGAAGTTCATGGCAGAGCCAGGGCTAGCACTTCCTTCTCCCAACCGGGTCTAAGATCCTCATTCTAGAGTAGACAACAGTGGGGAAAAGGGAATGTTGCCTTGACAGGGATCCTGGGGCCATTCTTGGAGTGAGCCTTAGTGGGAATCTTCATTTGGATGTGGTTACTCTAGTCTGTGCTTTATAGACATGCTTTGTTACTTTTTAGTCTCCCCTATATATCTGACCAAACTGGGGATGGGCAAGGAAGTACCGCTCAGCACATGATGAAGTTTTGGTACCCACCAAGCTCGGTGTCACCTTTGGGTCACTGATTCAGTATCTACTCTTGACAGGCTGGTTTACAACAAAACATCCAGGGCCACCCAGTTTCCTGATGGTGTGGATGTGCGTGTCCCTGGCTTTGGGAAAACCTTCTCATTGGAGTTCCTAGACCCCAGCAAAAGCAATGTTGGTATGTAGCCCTTACTCAAGGCCTCCAGGAGATGGGGCTGGGGGTTCTGCTGGACTGAAGTTAGAGGAACTCTGTTGGTTTATAGGGCTAGCTTGTGAGCTGTCTCTGATCAATGTGGGCACAGAACCCTGTAGCATTCCTCCAGGGCCTTCTCTGTCTTAGATGCCACAGTCTCTGCAGTGGGTGTAGTGTGGGTGGCTGGCACCAGCTGCATGTCCTTTAATCCTATGCATTTCTATCTACAGGTTCCTATTTCCATACCATGGTAGAGAGCCTTGTGGGCTGGGGCTACACACGGGGTGAGGATGTCCGAGGGGCCCCCTATGACTGGCGCCGAGCCCCAAGTAAGTAATCACTCTTGTCCCCTCCCTGGAGTCTTGGGAGGTGGGCATGAGGTAATCATAGCCACCACAGGCCTTGGTCTCTCCCTGGCCCTGGGCTCTCCCCTGCTCCTGGACCTATGGCAGCAAGCACACTGGTCATAGCAAACACCTTTGGTCAGTCTTGTCCTGTCCTCCCCATCCCTCATCCCAGGACTTCTGGGTCTCTGAGCCCTGGGGAGAGATAATAAGGTTGAGGGGAAGAAAAGGAGCCCCTTTGTTTCCTCCTTCACGGAAACAGGTAAAACAAGACTGCTCCCTTTGCATGTTAGCACCCTTCCCACCCCCCCTAGTCCTGGGTCTGACCTGAGAAAAGGTCAGTGGTTCAGGCCCCAGGACCCTTCCTGCCTGACCCCTGCCTGGCTCTGGCCTGCAGATGAAAACGGGCCCTACTTCCTGGCCCTCCGCGAGATGATCGAGGAGATGTACCAGCTGTATGGGGGCCCCGTGGTCATGGTTGCCCATAGCATGGGCAACATGTACACGCTCTACTTTCTGCAGCGGCAGCCGCAGGACTGGAAGGACAAGTATATCCGTGCCTTCGTGGCACTGGGTGCGCCCTGGGGGGGCGTGGCCAAGACCCTGCGCGTCCTGGCCTCAGGTAAGACCCTACCTGGCCTAGTAGGGGGTGGGTACTAGGAATTCCCCCTTCTCTTTCCTTTTCTTCTACAGTGTCCTCCTGGGCCAGCGCTCTTCATGTCTGTTCTGCAGTGGGCAGGTCTATGCAGACGCACTCCCAAAAGTCTAAGGAAGCTGAGAAGGCAAAGAAAGAGGCTGATGGTGGGGGTGGGGGTGGGGTGGAGAGTGTGTGTGGGTGGTGGAAACACAATATCAATAAGGGTACCTGATCTCAAGCCAGGCAAAGTGGGGACCAAAGGGAGGCCCAAACTTTACCTGTACAATGTCTACTTGTATAGCTAATCCTGAACTCCACATCTTTAAAATAAATTATAGACTGGGTGTGGTGGCTCAAGCCTGTAATCCCAGCCCTTTGGGAGGCCAAGGTGAGAGGATTGCCTGAGCCCAGGGGTTCGAGATCAGCCTGGGCAACTTGGTGAGACCTCAGGTCTACAGTAAATGAAAAAATTAGCTGGACGTGGTAGCACGTGCCTGTAGTTCTGGCTACTTGGAAGGCTAAGGCAGAAGGATTGCCTGAGCCCAGCAGGTCAATGCTGGGGTGACCGTGAGTGTGCCACTGCACTCCAGCCTGGGTGATGGAGTGAGGCTCCAACTCAAAAAATAAATAAATAATAAGATAAAATAAATTATATAAAGAAAGAAAGAGGCTAACAAATCCAGTTCTCGGAAAGACTCGTTTAATAGAGATTTATGAATAGAAGCCACATCCATGTCTCAGATGGTGGTGAGACGAGATGGTGGGTTCCTATGCCATCATCTCCCAGACTCAGGGCTCATACCACAGAGAAAGGGCAACTCCAAAGGTATGTGTAGGACAAATGAGTTAACATCGAGGTTGTTTGGCCTAAGGGCAGGATTTATGGTGAGTAGGTTCTCTTGCACAAGGAGCAATAGATAAACTGTAAACCTTAGAGGCCTTCCTAGAACTGGAGTTAATTAGAAGCCTCTATGGTGGATTAGCATCCAAGAGGAGTTGCTTTGGCCTCCACAATATCTCTTCTCCTGGGTCAGCACCCTTTTTTCTTCAGAGTGGCATTCTTTTTCATAACTTTTTTTTCCAGAAGATAATCTAACACAACTCCCCATTTCACCTCTTTAGTTGATATTGGTAGCCCTTGTAATCTTTGTAAGTTTCTTACAGCATGTACATGAAGTGGCATAACTGTTGGTCACACTGGTACTTGCTTGTGTAACGCACACATATATACACACATAGTGCCCAGGCCTGGCTGGCCTATCTTGGTTTGACCGCCACCCCCTATTTCTTCATCCTCACCCCTGCCCCAGAGGAGGAACACTAGACTACAGGTTTTTGTTTACGAGTTGCACCCACATCTGTGGGCAATAAGGAGCCTCTGTGGGCAACACAGGGTGGAAGCAGGTGCAGATCTAGCTGGGTCTGCTTGCCTGGCAGTTGGGAAAAGCAACCCCCATTCTGGCCCCTCCCCTATCTTTTCATGACTGTTGGAACCTACCAGCTACAGCTGTAAGGTAGAGCTTCCTGCTCTAGGAGGAAACTGTCTTTCCTCTGCTAGGAATGGGTATGAACCTCATGACCCCTCACTTTGGGAGCTGTGAACCAGGGCTGTGCCAAACATCTCCTGAGCTCAAGTCCCCAGCACTTCCTGATCTGCTTGGTTAACTGGCATTGTGATTGGGTTAGGCCCAGTGCCTCTCCCAGTAATGACCCTGAATTGGCTGAGCAATGAACCCATGGCTCAGACATTCTGTTACAGTGAGAACTCATCATAGCCACCTACACTGTCCAGCCTAGACCTTGGGGTAGGCATACTCTGAGTTTAGACAGATAGCCATGTTGACATTTGGGCCCTGGGCCCTTTCAGTTTCTCCTTGAATCTCTTCAGAGCTTTGCCTTAGTTTCTGGGAAACTGTTCCATCAGGCCCTGTTAATCTAGAAGTGGGGGTATGGTGTGGGAAGGTGGGACTCCATGGACCCCCAGGGAGTTCCCTTTCCTCAAGGGTTCTATAGCCAGACCCCAGCAGGCAAAGTTGAAGCCCTGCAGTCATTCAGAGAGGCCTCCCTGCTTTCAGATACAGAGTGGCTGACCTAGGAGCCTGAATGGGCCAGAGGCCCCTGTTCCCATGTTGCAGCTGTCCTCCCGGAAGTCTCACTGGCTGGCGGGTGTTTGTGTTGTTCGCATTCCTGTATGCAAAGGACTCTGACTCCATCTGCAGCCTTTCCTCCTACTATGTCTCTACCAGGCCTGGCTGCCCTGGTCAGGATGAGACCTGGGCTGGCTGAGTGCCAGTCTGAGCTTAGGAAAAAAAAATATGAGCACAGTTCAGTGTAATAAAAGAGAGAGAGAGAGGAACAGGTTTCTGGGCTACCAACCTGCTGATTCACCTTAGACGAGGTCAGTGCCCACAAGCCTGCTGACAAGCACCCAGAGGAGGGTACCGTGTACAGATGAGGAAATATAGATCACCCTGTGGGTATGTGCTGCCTAAATCCCTGGTGAGGAAATGCAAAAGAAACAAAACAGGTCTTGGATGTGTGCTTCCCAGAAGTAGCAAAAATAAAAGGAAACAATAAGACCCAAGTCAGAGCCAGACACAGTGGCTCACACCTCTAATCCCAACACATTGGGAGGCTGAGGTGGGAGGATTGGTTGAGGCCAGGAGTAGGAGAAAAGCCTGGGTAGCATAGTGAGACCTTGTCTCTACAAAAAATTTTTAAAATTAGCCAGGCATGGTGGCACGTGCCTGTAGTTGCAGCTACTTGGGAGGTTGAGGTGAAAGGATCTCCTGGGAGGATGTGGTGAGCCATGATCATGCCACTGCTCTCCAGCCTGGGCAGTAGAGTAAAACCTGAACTAAAAAAAAAAAGCCTTGGGAGGCCGAGGTGAGAGGATTGCCTGAGCTCAGGAGTTTAAGACCAGCCTGAGCAACATGGCAAGATCTTGTCTCTACAATAAGTCAAAAAATCAGCTGAGCGTGATGGCACATGCCTGTGGTTCCAGCTGCTTAGAAGGCTGAGGTGGAAGTATCGCCTGAGCCCAGCAAGTCAAGGCTGCAGCGGTCGTGAGCTTGCTACTGCACTCCAGCCTGGGCAACAGAGTGAGACTCCTACTCAAAACAAAAAAACAAAAAAAGCCAAGGTAGGGATGGGAGTTAGAATGATGTAGACAGGTGAGAATGTTGACTAGGCCCCTGGCTGGGGTCTGGCAGGGATCCTGGTGGCAAACATGCCACCTAGCCAGCTTGCATGCCTAAGCATAGACTGACTGGTGTCCTTGCCCTGCAGGAGACAACAACCGGATCCCAGTCATCGGACCCCTGAAGATCCGGGAGCAGCAGAGGTCTGCCGTCTCCACCAGCTGGCTGCTGCCATACAATTACACCTGGTCACCTGAGAAAGTGTTCGTGCACACACCCACGATTAACTACACGCTGAGGGACTATCACAAGTTCTTCCAGGACATCGGCTTTGAAGATGGCTGGTTCATGCGGCAGGACACAGAGAGGCTGGTTGAAGCCATGATGCCACCTGGCGTGCCCTTGCATTGCCTCTATGGTACTGGTGTCCCCACACCAGACTCCTTCTACTATGAGAGCTTCCCCGACCGTGACCCTAAAATCTGCTATGGCGATGGCGATGGCACTGTGAACTTGCAGAGTGCCCTGCAGTGCCAGGCCTGGCGTAGTCACCAGAAGTACCAAGTGTCGTTGCAGGAGCTGCCGGGCAGTGAGCACATCGAGATGCTGGCCAACGCCACTACCCTGGCCTATTTGAAACGTGTGCTCCTTGGGCCCTGATTCCTGTGCCAGGCAGGGCTGCTGGATGGCTCAGCCATGAAGTTCTCTCAGCCTCTTGGGCTGTCATGACACACAAGTTTAGCAAAGTTTGTGACTGACTGTTCAAGGCCCTGGGTCTTGGGCTGTGAAGCATCTGCCATGGGGAAGTGCTGTTTCCTATCCTTCCTCTGTGGCTGCGAAGAAGGAAGAAATGAGAGTCGGACTTGAGGGGTCTTTGATGGAAAGAATGCTGCTGATGGTGGAATGGTGACCTCAGGACTGGCTCTGCAAGGTGGATTGGCTGGCCCCTGGTCCCAATCCTCATGGGGGCCATGTGTTTCCTCCTACCCCTATGGCATTTTTACACTTGCCCACCGGGCCCAGGCCCCTCAACTTCCCTATGAGGGATGGTACTGTACTGTGGTCCTGTCCCCAAAGGTTCCAGGGATGGGCTCCTGGCCTCTCAGGTGACCCTTCCCACACACTGGCCACAGGTAGGCCTGCCACTGGCCATGAGTGCCTAGGGCTGTGGCCTAGCTGGTAGTCAGCCTGACTGTTGCTTCCTTGGGGCAGCCCAGTACCCCCTGCAAGCAGTGTTCTTCCTGGTTCCCTGGCCCAGGGACATTTACTCTATTTTTACCTCCCTCACCTCCAGGAGCAACATAGCTCTGGATTGGGCAGCAGATGGGCCCCTAGTTCTGGAGGCTGTGTCCAAGGAACCCTGATCCTCTTGGATGTGCTGTTGGCCCTTGTATTGAAACTGGCTCCCTTCACCCTGGGCCTCTGGCTTAAGGATGAGAACTGGGGCAAGTGCCATGGCCTTCTAGGTACCTGTGAAGAAAGGGCGCTCAAGGAAGCAGCCAAAGCTGCTTGTAGCTATCCTGAGCTACCCTCTTGCTAACCCCACCACACTGCCACCATGACCTATGGTCTCTCTAGTACCCAAGTGGGCTGGCACAGGGCTGAGAGGTGATGGACTTTCTACACTGTGCCCTGTACCTACTCCCACCAGGCAGCTGAGTGGTATTTAGTCTACAGAGGCTAGCCCAGAATCTTCAGGGGGCCCCTGAGAGAGCCAGGGGCCTTCGGGCCCTCTTAGGGGTTTCCTGTCTGCCCCAGGGTGCTACTTGGGTCTCCCAATGATAGCAGGGATAGAGAATCCGGGCTTGCCTTGGTGGCAGTGGGCTCCAAGCGGGCAACTGGCAATAGGCTGAAAGTAGGGTCCATCCTCTGGGGTGGGGTCCCAAAGCCACATTCAGGCTGGACTGAAATGCTCTGCCACAAGGTTTCTGTGGAGGCTGGGTTTTCTGTTACATACATGCCTGGCCTCTGCCTCTCCCTTGTTTCTGAGTGGTAGGCCCCATGTGGGGCTCTGAGCAGTCTGTACCTCAATTCTGGCAATAAAAGTATTGTGTATGCTGTAAGACACCCTGGCCTAGGCTCTATTCTGAGCATGAGAGGAGGGAGGTGGTGGGGGTGTGAGGGGGCTAAAGTGGCAGGTATTCAGGGGCCGGAGCTCTCTTGGGTCCTTGATGGGTTCTCAGTACCAAAGAATGACTCCTGTGCCCTTCTTCGGGCTGCATCTTCCTGCCCTGTCTCCTGGAATGCAGTTCCCCTCCTGAGACTAAGAACCAGAATCTGAAACATCCCCACTGCAACTGGCTGCTGCCCTCCTCCTGTCCTTATCTGGTCAGCAGGTCCCACTGCCACCCAAGAGCTGGGGCAAAGACAGTCCTGCAGGTCACCCTGGCTAGACTCTTCCCAGCCTCTGCTCTCCCTCAGCTTACAGGTCTCAGCATCCTTTGAACCTAGAGTTCTAAGATGCCACCCTTTTCCTTTAGGGACAGAGAGAGACTGAGGAAGAGAGACTAGTTTGAGACTGGTATGGACAGAGAGGTGGGCAGAGACTGGGACCAAACGGAGATGGACAAAGATGGAACAGAGACTGAGGCAGAGAAATGTGGATGGGGTGGTGTGCCACCCAGAATTGTGTGGTCCAGAGTCAGTGGTAGAAGCCCCACCAACCTGAGCTCCAGCTTTGATACACCACAGGCCACAAGAGGGCGCTCTGAACCCTCTTTCAATACGAGGTATTAGCCAAACCTGGAAGGAAGTGGTGACCCAGAGTAGGAGTGAGGAAGCTTGGGGCCACACAAGTGCAGCTGCAGCTCCGGCTTAGGTAAAATTATGACAACGTGAAAGGGAGTCTCACCCCCAGGCTCTGCCCAGCCTGACTCTCAGCTCGGCCCTGATACTTATCCACCCAAGGTACCCCCTGTGGGTCTCATAGCCACTTACCCCTGGCCTGTTTTAGCCTCACTGTCACACTCGGATTCACAGTTACAGAGAGAGGGTGTGGAATCAGCAGGCTTCACAGGGCTAGCAAACCTGGGTACAAATCCCAGTTCCGTGGAGACCAAAGGGAGGCTCAAACTTTACTTGTATAATGACCACTTGTGTACCTAATCCTGAATTGGACCCCACATCTTTAAACTAAAAATGTAAAAATCTTAGCTCCAGTCAAATAGCCTGGGGAGCTTCCTGACCTCTCTGAACCTCAGTTTCCTCGTCTGAAGAATGAGGACAACCCTTAGCCGGGCTCGGTGGCTCAGCCTGTAATCCTGCGCCTTGGGAAGTTGAGGTGAGTGGATTGCCTGAGCCCGTGGGTTCGAGACCCGCCTGGGCAACTTGGTGAGACCTCATCTCTACAATAAATAAAAAATTAGCTGGGCGTGGTAGCACGCGCCTGTAATTCCGGCTACTCGGAAGGCTGAGGCGGAAAGATCACCGGAGCGCAGCAGGTGGAGGCTGCGGTGGCCAGGAGCGGCCACAGCACTCCAGTCTGGGCGACAGAGTGAGACTCCAACTCAAAAAAAAAAATGAGGACAGCCCTGTGATGTGGCTTGCACCTATAATCCAAGCTACTCAGAAGGTTGAGGTGAAAGGCTGATTCAAGGCCAGGAGTTTGAGACCAGCCTGGGCAACATATCGACACCTCATCTCTAAGAAAAAATAAATCTGGGCTGGGTGCAGTGGTTCACGCCTATAATCCTAACACTTTGGGAGGCCAAGGTGAGAGGATTGCATGAACCCACAGGTTCAAGACCAGCCTAGGAAACTTGGTGAGACCTCATCTCTACAATAAATCAAAAATTACCTGTGCATGGTGGTATGCATAGTTCCAGCTACTTGGAAGGCTGAGGTGGAAGGATCACCTGAGCCCAGCAGGTAGAGGCTACGGTGGCTGTGAGCGTGCTACTGCACTCCAGCCGCAGTAATAGAGTGAGACTCCAACTAAAAAAAAATAAGTAAAATAAAAATTAGCCAGGCATGGTGGTGTGTGCCTGTAGTTCCAGCTGCTTGAAAGGCTGAGGCAGAAGGATTGACTGAGCCCAGTCGGTCAAGGCTGCAATGACCAGGAGCATGCCACTGCCCTCCAGCCTGAGTTACAGAATGAGACTCCAACTCAATTATCAATCAGTCAATCAATCAATATCTGTAGTCCCAAGTGGGATGCTGAGATGGAAGGATCTCTTGAGCCCAAGAGTTTAGGCAGCAGTGAGCTATGATTCTGCCTGTGAATAGCCACTGCACTCCAACCTGGACTACAGAGCAGCATCCTGTCTCGTAAAGAAAAGAACAGGGGCAAATAAATATACCCTGCAGCATAGTCCTGAGGAACACTGATGACCTTGGAGAACATCTGATTCAGTGCCTGGTGCACACAGCTGATGGGCTGTGTAACTGGGTATGAGACAGCAAAACCAGAGGTCTGGAAGCCAGCAACGCTTGTATGCAGCTGTTGCAAGGACAAGTGAACTGGCTGCTACTGAGTGACAAACATGTCCAGAGCTGTCCCTCCGCCTGGTCAGAGGCCAGAGGAACTGATCCAGGAAGCAAAGGGCCAGACTCCACTGATCCAGAAACATGCATACACTCATTCACACTCAGGGAAGGTGTTCTAAGCAGAGGGCACACTGGTGAGGGTGCCTCAGGGTTGTCATTTCAGTATTTTTTTTTGAGTTGGAGTCTCATTCTGTCACACAGACTGGAGTGCAGTGGCATGATCCTAGCCACCACAGCCTCGACCTGCTGGGCTACAGCGATTCTTCCCCCAGCCTTCCAAGTAGCTGGAACTACAGGCGCACGCTACCACATCCAGCTAATTTTTGATTTATTGTAGAGACAAGATCTCGCCAAGTTACCCATGTGGGTCTCAACCCACGGGCTCAGGCAATCCACTCGCCTCGGCCTCCCAAAGTACTGGGATTACAGGCTGAGCCACGGAGCCCAGCCTGTCATTTCAGTCTTACAAGGAGGAGAATGGAAGGGTTTTAGGCAAGGGAGATCCAAAGTCACCCAATTTGTATTTCAGGAGCATCCCCTACCCTGTAGGGGTAGGATAGAGGGAGGAGGGTGGGGATTGGGAGGCCATTGTGGCCGGGGAGAAGAAAAACATGGAATGCAGGCCTGGCCCTGGTGGGGCGGGGGAAGAGCAGGAAGGGTCTTGGGTGCTGCTCATCTCTGGCTGGATCACTGGGTGGAGGGGAGCAGGGGTCTGGGTGTAGTTTGGAGCCAGAGGATGTGCAATTGTGGACTTAGGCCGGGGGGAAAAAAAACTCCATTCCATGGTCAAGAAGAGGGTCAGTGCTTGAAGAGTGGACAGGAAGCTAAGGTGGAGGGCTTAGAGATCCATGAGGCCAAGAGGCCCTAGACAGAGCCCCAGAGCTCAGAAGGAGCCCTAGAAGGAGATGGAGGAAGAGAAAACAGGGGAAGGGGACAGGAGGGTGCGGTTCCCCTAAGAAGGGGTGTCAGTAGGGTCAGGCAAGATGAGGACAGAGCCCCAGGAAGGCTGGGGTTGCCTAAGGGAGCCAGGCAGTGTCAGTGTGTCTGGGGGGTAGGGGGTGGGGGTGGTGCTTCAATGCCAGGGAATCTGAGCTGTGTGTGATAGCCCAATACAGGGTGTGTGTGTCTTCCTGGGGTCCCTAAGCAAGGGGGCGGCAGTGATTGGGGCTCGGGGCTGCTGGAGCTCCAGGTGGGAGCTGCATGGTGGCCCCTGGGCGTGGGGCCCAGGCCAAAGGCCAAAGGAACGCAGCGCGAGGCCAACCACAGCTCCCCGCGGGGACGTCCCCTTCTGGAGGCCCTCGGGAGGCCCCGGGCGACTGCAGGGCGGCGAGGGTGGCTGGGCCCAGGTCCCGCGCCGGCTTGGGGGCTGCCTGGCAACGACTGCGGGATCCAGATCGCGCAGGCCGT